ATTTGTCGCTCAATCTAGCACGATGCAAGCCTCCCTTTTTTTCCACTTCTACTCCCATTCTGGGCTTTGTTGACTTTTTGGCTTTCAATAGCCCGCCGAGCAATGTCTATTCATTTTTTGTATGGTGCTATTAGAGCCACAACCCCTCACAGCCATTTGAAATGAAAAGTTGCCCGAACATAAACAAACAAACAAACACACACACATACACACACACACACACACACACTAGCATACACATCGTTTATGCTATACAGGCGTACGTGGAAGTAAAAGACATGGAAGATGATGTGCAGAGCTCTTAAATATTTCTAGGAGGTAAATAGCAACAAGCGAGCCAGTGACGAAATGTGAATATGTCCTTTGACATTTGATCGCATGACTGCGATAATCATGACAGGCTTCCTTGTCGTGCCTTTCAACATCTTGTCATCGGGGGCTATTCTATTCGTTCGTATGTAGCTTAATGGCCTGCTGCATTATTTAGCACGTTGATGAGCAAATAAAATTGTGGACTTATGCCAACTTTAAGGAGCGTCTGTGGTCGCCTTTAAAGCTGTCACTGGCCAGACAATGGCCTTACATTAGGCACATGTTCCGGATATCCGGCGCCGCCATTTTCAACACTCAATTACAAAGTTCAAGCCTCATGTGCTGGCACTTTCAAGTTTGTTTGCGACTTCTTCTACTTACTTCTGCAGTCAGCTAAGACTTAATTTACTTTTGAAGCCAAGCAGCTGGAAAAAGAGGTGGCTGGGTTGGTAGCCAAGTAGCCTAAGACTAAAAGGGCATCCAATGCTTGATTCAAGTGTCGACTTTATCATACTCTGTAAGATGATTTCTTTTAATTATAATTAAATTGAAATTATTCAAAAAAGGCTTTTTGTACTTTTGGGTCCGAGTATCAGGGGATATTGGAGATGTAAGATACATCTTAATTTATTATATATACAAGTATATCCACTCATATGGTCTTAATATAGCAGCATTTGTATAAAAAAAAGATATGATTTTCACTATATAATTGGTCTATGATTTATTATTCTTATTATAGAATGGTAGAGATTCTGATAATCATAAAATGTAATATTAAAATAAATATGTAAGCTAGTTACTGATTTCAGAGCCGGTTCATACACATGTAGTATAAAATGTAAAAATTTACAATTAAATGTATTATTATTTTTCACTTGCAACCCTTAAAATGGTAATAGGAATACCATTTATTTAAGTCATCAAGCTTCAGTATAAAATTAATGTATTAAGCGGGACATTATTTCTGGGGATTTCTTATAAATACAGCTATGAGGAATGTAAATAAATAGGGGTTTTATTAACGCTTTATATACCTTTGTAATCCCTTTTCCTTTGGGGGTCACATACATACTTACAATTCCCAAACATCCTACTTTATTTTGCAATCAGGGTATATCAACAACAACAACAATGGTAACGATGTGGAAAAAAAATTGCCGCAATTTCCTGCGCAATTCTTGGTAGCATAAAAAGGCGCTGAGGCAGCGACCAGAGAAAATGGCTGATGTTGAACTTGCAACTGCAACGAAGGCATGTGCTTACACCTACATCCGTATACTCGCACACACTCAAGCCAACACACGTGGGCGCCCAGAAGTGCAGTTAATTATAATTAAGCCAAGTTAAATAACCACTTGTGCCACTTGGCGTCTTTGCAACTGCCACCTGCTGCTTTGACTTAGCGCTGGCTTAAATTTGTCAACGCTTGTCAAGGCTTGTGGCTCTTGTTGTTCCCTCTGCTCTGGGAGACTCTTTTAATTAAAACCACGTTCATTAAAATGGCGACCAACACACAGTCAACACATAGTCCAAAAACTAGGCCAGAAAAAGTGTTGCATATTCAAGCTTAACGCTTATTCAATAGAGTTTGTCGCTTCGGCTGTTGTTTTATGCAACAATGGCTGTAACGCTTTATCCCGAAGCACAAAAGTAAGCCCAGGCATCAAGGAAATCGAGGAGAGCGTAGAGAAAAAGGGCCAGAGAATAGACACTGCCGGCAGTGAGCCACGTTCGTTCATTTGCAAGGACAATGCAACATTATTGTCAGCAAGTGGATGGGTGGCAAAGAGAAAATACATAGACATGTTTCGTTGTGTACATCGTCAAATAAATGATGACTGACTGCCTGAATGGATGGTTGAATGAATGAATGGGAGGCTGAATGAAGGGCCGCAGCTAAATGCATGCGAAGCGGTCTAAAGGAATCCCATTATAATAAATATAGCTTCAGTCCCTCATAACTCCAACATAAGCGAATCAATAGCTAGCACTGAATACTATTTACAGTTACCAATTCGAACTTATGTTTTGATAAGGTTAACTTGTACTATATAATAAATAAAAAGCGTTTAAAAAACCATTTTCGAAAATGTAAAAGCTTTTTAGTGCTCCTATATTGAATCTTAAGCAAAAAACAATATTTTAGATAGTTTAGCTTTTGGTCAGGTCAGTGCAAGACAGAGTATGGTATTTATGTGGGCTTAAATTTTTGTGTAAAACTAATTCATAAATCAAGAATGGAATGCTGGAGTTGAGCGGGCCCAACTTGTAATACCGTGCACCTGTACCTGTAGGGGGTCTGCCACGCCTACTTCTATAAATTAGTTAACCCTTTTACCTTTTGCGTTTTGGATATAATGAATCGTCCTGGATTCAAAAACATGTAGCTTGGATAATGTTTATGATCATTTCAATACTTTTAATTCATTGTTAGCATTACGGTACTAATCGGTAATCGGTACTAATACGGTAATAATCGAACATAATCGTAAGATGGTAGCTAATATGTTAAATATATTTCATAGAGAATCCATTACAAAAATTATTTTTCTTAAGCAGTTGTGTTTGATTTTGAATAATCATAATACAAAATGGAAGATTTGATCTGAAATTTAATTAATATGATATTTTCCCCAATGTAAAATTTAAACAAGAATTGGCAAAGACATTTTGTCAAGCCTAAAGGCCAATTTAATCCAACATAACAAAATAGGAGAACAAAGTATGAACAATAATTTATTTGGAAGCAGTTTTAAAATATCGAGTGTGAAATTTTCAAATTACTTTTGTTTCGAATGACTTAAAGTATTTTTGATGCGCCAAAGTTAATTGGATAACTATTCCTAACTAACTAAGAGAGACAGTCTGCCTGATGTCTTTTGACTCGCTAACCTGTCCTTTTATAAAAATGTTACTGCTTGCGAAACGGAGTAAAATTGATCATATTCACAACAATATAAAATACCAATATTTCTGAATATATTCTTAAACAATGTTGCATTCTGATATTCTTGGACTTATGCCAAACAAATCACGAAACAGTATCAATGAAAGCGTTGACATCTATTTCAAAGCAATCGACAGTTTAAGAAGCGTGACATTAGACATAAATCCTCCAGGCTGTTGGAGTTTTATGCTTAACAAATAAATGCAATTAGCGCAAAATGCTGCCAGCTAACACACACACAAACACACACACACACACACACACACACACACACACACACACACACACGCACACATAGACTCATATACACACTCACACATATTCAGGGGCAGTAGCACGAATGCTTGCACTGTCGTATTAAAATACGAATACAAATAAAATGTGTGGACGTGTGTGTCGTGTGTTTTGCTACGGGCGCCCATAAATATGCAATAAATTCTTTGCCGCCAACACTTCACAGCTGCTGTGCACACGCGCAAATTGCATAAAAATCACATTAACAATTTGCTACTACAAGTATTTTATTTTTATTGCTGCATGTTTTATTTTTATTTCATGCGCGTCTTTGTACATTTTAATGCCTTCCGATGCTATGCAAAGCAGTACAGTTACTCACACACACACACGCACACACGCACACACGTACACTCACAAAAGGCACACATTGAACACACATGTTGCCATGAGGAGGGGTGGGATGGGGCTGGCTGGATGTTGGTGTGAAAATGTGAGACAACTGCATGTTGGCATCGAAAGCGCAATAAAAACGCTTAATTTTTCACTTTTACGCAGACAAAAAGAAACACACTGTAGTTGTTGTTGCTGCTGCTGCTGCTGTTGTTCTTGTTGTGAGGTGTTTGGCAAAGTGCGAATGGTCGTGTGAATGGGAAGCTGTGCGTTTGTATGTGAATTCATGTGAGTGAGTCCTCTTCTGAGTATTTGCATGTGAACAGAAAGGCAACGGAGCCATTTAAAAAGTTATTTAATTTAATAATACGCACGAAAACATGTCGCAAGTAAAAGCACAGGCGAACACAAATATGAGTGGATTAAAACAAATGTGGAAAGGTGTGGGTATATTAAAGAAGATCTTTTTCATGTTTGACAATTTTAATTTTTAATATTGTTTAACTTTTTACTTTTTAAAAAACTTGTCCAACTATAGACACTCAACAGAATTAAAATTTGGCAAACACATTTGGAAATAATTTATTAAATAAATCAAGTTATAGTTAAATAAATATGCAAGAGTGCTAAATATTTATTTTCCTCAGATTATCTTAAAAATTCAAGTAACCAACCAGTCGTGTTATATTTAATTTTATTGAAAAGAAAAGAAAAATTTGTTGCAACACTATTCAACTGGTTTGTTCTTTGATTTAAATTTTTATTGCACTGCATTAAATTGTTTAAAAGTTCGATGACTTGCATATAGCCTCAGCAGCGCTTTTTTAAAGTAAATCTGATCCAACTGTCCAATTAAAAGAGATATTTTTGCATTTTAATTGCATTGCGATAAGATTAAACGCATAAATGAAACACAAATACACACTCACAAAGGAACAGAGACAGGCACGCAGGCAGGCAGGCAGGATATCGATGCATTGGCAACTCACATTGACATTTAAGCCACACGGAAAACGTAACCAAAACCCGTTTGTACAAACAAACAACCAAACAACAGTGAATGCCGTTTTATTTATTTTGTCTGGTATGGCTCTGTTTCTCTTTTTCCCAGATTTAAAAACAACGTGCGGCCGTTCAGGAATTCGTTGAGGGACGTCACAAAAAGTGAGCAAATCAAAAGCATCAAAAAGCATTGTCAAAGCAAGGAGGAGGAGGAGGAGGAGCGGGCAGCCTAAGTTTTTGCGACAAACCTGAAATACGCTTGGTTGGCATCTACATAGGTAGTCAGTATTGCTTTCCTGTACTTTGGACACACGTGCGCCGCGGCTGCGCCCGTGACAGTGCCCGTACCCGTGCCCCTACGTTTGTCAACAGCAACCACAATAACAACAGGAGCAGCTGCAATGAAGCTATCAAAACTGTCCAACCAGACGAACTCACAGGATCCGCAGGCAGTTAATTCGCGCATCTTCGTGGGCAATCTGAATACCTTTCAGTGCTCCAAAACGGATGTGGAGCGCATGTTCCAGATCTATGGCAGGCTGGCGGGTAAGCAAACTTTCTACGGAGCCTATGTATTCCGAGCTATTCCTTCTTCAATTTATCCCTCTTCTTATCCGCAGGTATTTCCATGCATAAGGGCTATGCCTTTGTGCAGTTCACCAACCCATTCGATGCCCGCAATGCCTGCCACGGTGAGGATGGCAAGACGGTTCTCAGCCAGACGCTAGGTGAGTCATGTTGGCATGTTGCCTGCCTTGTTTTGCATACTTTGTGGCGCAGACCTTAACCCTCAATTTATGTTTGTGGGTGCGAAGTCGGGCGTGTGTGTGTGTGTGTGTGTGTGCGTTACATGCCATTCCGGGTTAATGGCCGTGCACCGGAAGCGCTGCACTAAAATCGAACAAATGCGCGGAAAAACTGAAAATCGTTAGTAAGGTAGAATTAAGTTGTGTGTCTGTGTGGAGGACGAGTAGGTTTGTCTTAATGCAGCAGGGAACAGTGTACAAATGTAGTCGGGAAATATATAATATTGTTGTTTACTTATTTATTTAATTATTATGTTTAAAAGAAATCAAATGGAAACATTTTAATTTTTTTTAATTTCTAAAGGACTAAAGAATTTAAAAGCTTTCTTAATGGTTTATATTTTTAAATTTATACTTTTTTATGGAGGTTTTTATTCCACAGCACCTCAACGGATTTTCCTTAAACAGTTTGTTTTTTCTCAGTATTTGAGGAAATTGTGTTAGATGACTAACTAACTACAACAACATTTATGTAAAACAAAAATCACGGCGCTACCATCATCGCGAATGCATGATTGAAATTAGAAATAAAATACTTGTAGTCCTTAATTCTTTAAATGTGGTCTCTTGTAATAAAAGCAAAACTACTTTGAAGTTGTATATTGTTCATATTTTATGCTCAGAATTATCTGACTTCATTAATGCTTAGTAGAGAGATCACATTAAAAAATACCGCAGTGTGTGCATAAGAATTTTAGATAAATTTTTTCGCACTAGATACTTTTTTAACACGGCCCAACAAGAACCTACTACAATGATTAAACGGCAGAATTTAATAAAGTTTTGTAAATTAATATCTGCAATTAATACATAAACGAACTATATTTATTTTTTTAGCTTACGGACTAATAACTAGTTATATGGTTGATAGTTAAAACTTATAGGAGCTAAAAACATTACAAATGTTTATGAGGAAATGTTATTTCGTCTGTTAGCCTTAAGCCGGTAACTTGCTGGTGTGGCATAATCGATTGGTCCCGATTGATCGGGAAAACCAGCTAATCGATAGTTGACACATACTGGAATTATCGACAAACCAAATAAAGTAATGACATAACTATACAACAATCGTTCTTGATATTGAATTACTCATTGAATAAATATTCGGGATTTCACTTAACTTTTTTCCAAGCATGAAATTGTCAGCTTTTAATTTGTAATTGTTTGTCTAGATGGGTTCCAAATTAATTTCGCTAAAATAAATACAAATAGAAGCAAATCTAGTGGGTATGTACCGGATATGTATTATATTATTCAAATGATTCAAATAACAGTTAGTTAAGGAAGATAATTTACTTTCTTGATCTACAAATTGCATGATTTGGTTAGCATCATAAATCATAAGCCATTCGAAGTACATAATATTAAAACTAGTTGGCATTTCTAATCCGATTAGTATTAAACTATCACACTGTGCATCGCCTTGGAGGTAGCTATGGGGTTGTGTGGCATGTGTAGTGGCCATATCTTAGCGCTGCTTCAGTCGATGTCTATGTGGCGGCGTGTCTGGGTATTTTTATGCAGCGGAAGTCGTTGCTTCTAGGGGGATGGATGAGGTGGCAGCAGCGATGGCAGCCACAACTTAAATCGCGGCATAAATCTTTGTACTTTTAATGAAATTTCAATGTTACTCACCTGTCTGCCAGGCAACGAGTCAGCGAGTCCGTGGAGTCGACTGCCTGTCATGGCGACTGTTTGTCGATTTCATTTGAGCGTTTAATGAAATTTTACGCCGTCAGTTGCAGCTGCAGCAACAGACAATCACATAAGTTTTTATTACGAAATTACAGTAGGACCTCCTTATCGCAGATTTCCGATGCGCTAATAGTATGCCTAATGCTTTTGAACAGCATTTAACGATGAAGAACGATCAAATATTCGTAGGCAGAATTTGTATAAATAAAATAGTTCTTACGCAATTATCTGCAGTGTGTAGTATTATAATATATCTTAAATATGTTTTCTTAATTTTAGTTTCTTTTGATTACCTCGATATTTGTTAAAGAAGAATATATGTATATACTAAGTATAATACCACGAAGTATATAATAACGATGGCAGAATGTGATTAATTTGTTTGGTCAGAATTTGTTTAAAATAACTCCAATTAATATCGAATATCATAAATATGTTTTCTTAATTTGTGTTTGTTTTGTTTAGTTCGTTATTTGTTTACAGAAGAATAAAGAGATAGATTCTGCTGTACATTGCGATGCCTGCAAAGTCGAATCGTGTGTATAATTATGTTTTTAGTTTTTTTTTAGTAGTTAATATTTTATAAAGTGTAAATTTGCGAGAATTAAATAATTGGGGTCCTACTGTACAGACACACTCACACACATAAATAGTCTTGCATCTTGAGGCACGTAATATATATTTTTGCAGCAATTTGCGATGCGTGTGTGTCTGTCTGGCACTCCGTCCGTCTATCTGTCTGCTCGTGTGAAAAACAACTTAATGCACTTAGTGTTGTATGTCGGCGGAGCATCGCGTATACGCAATGTTGTCACAAAGCGCCCGAATGCAGGCAATGAAAAATTTACAGCGCACTTATAAAACCATTTTAGCCTCAAGCTATTTTTTTTTCTTCTTTTAGCTGCTTATGTAAATGTGAAATGCTAATTTTTCACTGATTAGAAGGAGGGAGCTGCAGGGTTATGAGGCAGGGGGCAGGGGCAGTGGCAGTGGAAGCTTCTTTTGAGTGGACATGGCGGTAATATTTCATTGGTACGCGCCATTGACTTTTAAGCGCAACGAAATGTTGCCCAACTGCTAAACCGATTTGGGCTTGGATGCTGCCTTAAAACTTGCGGAAATCCTTCTTACGCTTTTATCCTTAATCTTAATTATAGCCTGCCAGCCAGCCGGCCAGTCAGCCGAGCCGGGAATAAGTCAGACAGACAAAATAAAAAGAAAAAGCAGGCGGTTAAAAAAATAAAGGCGCAATGCTGGAGCGTTCTGCAATTTGTAGTCATAGCAACGTCCATGCGGAAAGTCGGGCGCTGTGGTTTGTCTTTTCCCCCCTCTTTTTTTGTGTGTACTTGTATGTGTCTGTGTGTGTGTGTGTGCGCGCGGCTTTTAGCTATCCCGCGGCCAGCGCGGCAGGCACCACTTCAAACTTTGTCATGAATTATGATGAACGAGTGCGCACCGCACGCTGTTGCTTTCCAGCATCGAACCACCCCACCGCTCCACCACCACACCCCCAAACAGCCGAACCACTCAAGACCACATAGCGGCATCAAAATATATTTATAAAAAAGTGAGCGGCCTGTTGTCGCACCCTTTTCATTGAAAAATGAAATGTATGAAACAGCCGCTGTCGCATCTGTTTTTTTATACTCTTTTCACTTCTCCAATATGCAAAAGCTGACACAATTTGTTATCGTTGTTGTTGCTTGTTCAGTGCAGTTTTATTAAGATTAATGATTGTTGCCTCTGGATGAAGTTAAATGAAATTACAAATGCAGCAAGACAAGTGCGCAGAAATTTTTTAATCACTTAGTTTCATGAAATACAAAAATCATTTGCATAATGAAAACCGTACAGAAATAATAAACCCAAATACAAGCCTATACAATGGACTCAAAGCTCTATTGTCTGCTTCTTTGTGTTTATTACTTGGTCGCCGGCACTTCAAAGATAATGTGTGCATTTTTTTGTTGTTCTTGTTGTTGTTGTAGTACGATACGAGTATTGTGTGTTTTTGGCATAAAACAGATGGCCTTTATGCTAAAGAAAAAACGAAGAACAAAAAAAATTATCAGTTGCTTGCAGGCGTATTCGTACAACATGGTTTTATTAGCTATCGTATATCTATCACCCCCACTCTCTTATGTATTTCTTATTTTTCTTTGTAGATGTTAATATGGTGGCCGAGCCAAAGGCACACCAAATCGGACGTAAACGTCAGAATGTTAGCAAAACTGGAAATGATTGGTAAGTATTCGTGATTGCGTTTCAGAGTTTATTTGAAAATGGTGAATGAATAGGTATTGTGGAGCAAGTCGAGAATACTTGTATAAGTATGTGGAATTTCATTATTTCAGAATTTCCTAAAAAAATGAAAAGTTTAAGCCACATATAGTAAAAATATATTAAGTTTTTGAAACGTTTGAACATTAATTTTTCTTATAACTATTACAGCGACATAATTTCATTTACATTTTTAATTAAATGTGCTAGAGAGGAATTATGTAAAATTAAACCATTTAGTAATATTTTGAAAGTGTAGTTGAAAAAAAAAACACCTATGCTTGATTCAAAATGTTCTTAGTTTTCAACAAATAATATCAAAAGAGCGTTTTACATGAGTATCTAATTCATCTATGACGAAAAGAAGAACTGATTTTCTCTTTTTGGAATTTATAATTTATATATTTATAATTACCTGAAGTCTTTAGAAGAGTTGGATGTTTCACTAAATAATCGAATAATCGCTTCCAACCAAAATGTTCAAACCAGGCATTTAGTATACATACTTATAATTACAATTAAAAGAAGACGAGGTAGTGTACCATTTTTTGATTAATTTATATCGTTATTTAATGTGTTGTTGAAATAATTTTTGTCGACAAATCTATAGCTATAGCTATGTGATCCTTTCGATCAATTTAATGAGCGCAATTGGTAGAAACGAGGCCCGTACATTCCGCATTGCCATGAGCTTGACTAATGGAGTAGCATATTAGATTCTTGAAATTGAAATTTGTTGCTGTCCGGATAGCAGGCTGTAGAAATTTGAAAGCCATTTCATGCTAGATAAGGCTCAAGCAATTTAATTAAATAATATGGAAATGGTGCATGGCTAACAAAAAACGGACCAGCACAAAACTTTTTCGACAATTTAACTCGGCCATGTGGTGCTCATTTGACTTTATTTACATATCATTTAACAGTTTTGTCCGGCTGCTTTAGTTTTTCGAGCCGTGCACTGAGGTTGGCCCCAATGCCAAATACGAGTAAATAAGCAAATACAACACAATTCATCAAGCGGGACTGTGTCCTTTGTTTCAATGCTGGCTGCGAATGGCATAAAATATTTGGCTGTCAACTCCTGACTATGCGAGTACAATCCAGACTTTGGCTTGAGTTCCGGTCTGGGTCAGTTGTGTGTTCGAGAGCTGCGTCAACACACTCGAAACTCGGGCGCAAAAAATTACACACAAAAGAGGAAGTGTGTGTATGTTGGTGTGTGTGTGTGTGTGTGTGTGTGTGACTGACAGTTGCAATGTATGCTATAATGTACGACGCGTCGTCTGTTCCCGTCGATCCCCCCATTCCCTGTTGTCCTTGCCGTTGACATGTGCACTGTTTGTCGTGGCGTGGCAGGACCGTAATGATGACTGAGCGGCGCATATACGAATACACACATACATACATACATACATACATATGTATGTATGTAGTACATGACGATATGTGGCACATTCACAATTTATTTGGGCGCGTCAACGCAGCCGACGACGACCACTTCGTGTGGAAACATTTAATTTAAGCTTAATGATGCCGAAACGTATGACGACAACCTTAAAGCGACTCCATTCCACTGAGCGACAAGGCATCGACTCGATTGTAATTGTAATTAAAACGCAAACATGTCACAGTTGCCAATTCCAAGCTTCCAGTTGCCATGTCCACCTGCCGGTAGCTGATTCGTGTGGTGTCATTAAACGGTCGGCCATATCAGTCCATTGACCGCACACAAACTGACCGTAAGAGCCACAATTGCCGCACCACACCCATTTCTGCCACCATAAACACACAACATGAAAACGGCCTCAATATTTGACCGCAAATGAGCAGCAGCCGTTGCCAGGGAGCGGGTGGCTGGCTTTTATATCAATCACTGACAACAAAAGGCCATACCAGACGTTTCTGAGAGGCGGATCTGGGTGGGCGGAACATAATTGGCAAATGACAATTCTAATGGCAAGTCAGCCGGTTGAAGGGATGGCGTACATGCCTAAACAAATATTGACAGCCAGCCGGCAACAGTTGGCTCGTTTTTTGTGCTCGTCAGTGCTTTAGAGTTTTGTCCAGCGTATAAAAAGTTTAAGGGATGGAAAAACTAAAAGGTTTCCTTACTAAGTTTGTTATTTTATCGATAAATAAATATGTAATCAACTTAAAACAAGAGGGGTATGCTAGAGTCTAGCGAGCTCATATACCCTGTACCTACGTTTGTGTAGAATAGTACTACATACGTATGTTTGTTTTATATTTTGTGAACCCCAAAAGAAAGAACAGATCGGATTGCTCCAACAAGCGGTTATTGACAAAGAATATATACAGTATATACTATATAGTATATATATTTAATATTTAAACTTACATAATAGCTTGCCTTACTTTATTATTCTTAACCTAAGCCTACATAGTATTACACACACATTTATGAAATTCGAATATCTACGTGAGCTATGTAAAAACACTTATAGCGGGAGTGTAGCCGGTGCATCGGGCACAAATAATGTGAGCTTGTCCTTGCTCAGACTGTGGAGAAACTAGATTCCATAGTTTGGTTATTACAGCTCTTATACTTCCTGAGCAGCGTGCGTTCATCATACGGATAGATTGTTGGGCATGCAGAAGGAGCGGGCTATATCAACTCGATCGATATTGATACAAAATGTAGTTTGTGGGTTTTGCTGAGAACCTGGTATACTCTTTCGATGCAGGGTATAACAATTATGAATTTGTTTTTCTTTTTCGATGGGATGTTAGCACAATCGAGCTGTCAAAGGAATTGTTAAAATTGGAGTATCACGATTACAGGTCAATATGTTCATATATAACTTTTTCTTTCAACTTTGTCTGCTTGCAGGGATTACTTTTACGACAGCTATTGCTCCTCGACACTGCTGCGCAGCAGCGTTAATGGCGTGCGTCCAAAGAAGCGCAAGCGCCTGATGACCAATGGCAGCAGCCTAGCCGCTGCAGTGCAGCAATCGCAGCAGCAGCTGGCACATGGTGCACATCACCATAGCGCTGCTGCCGTGGCCGCTGCTGCCGCGGCTGCAGCGCATCATCAGCAACAGCAGGCACAGGTGCAGGCGCAGCAGCAACAGCAGCAGCACCATCATCATCAGCAGCAAGTGGCCGCTGTTGCTATGGCAGCTATGGCCAATTTGCTGCCACAGCAACAATTGCTGCTGCATCAGCAGAATTTGCTATCGAATGCAGCCACAGCCGCGGCTGTGGCCACGACAGCTGCAGCCACAAATACGGCACCGAACGGCGCCCATCATGGCCTACACTGGTCGCAGCAATACAAACAGGAGCAGCAGCAACAACAACAGAAGCAGCAGCAGCAGCAACAGCAACAACAGTTCGTGGTTGCTGCCACAGGGTATCAGGCAACGACATCCCCCCAGAATGCAAAGTCAGCCATAATTGCTAATCAAACAGCGCTCAGCAATGGCGTCGGTCTGGAGCAGTTTGCCGCCTTCGGTCAGCAGTCGCATCACCAGCATCAGCATCAGCAACAACAGCAGCAGCAGCAGCAACAACAACAGCAACAGCTCGGCTGTCTGTTGCAGCCATTGACTTTGGCGTTGTCACCACAACAAGTGCATGGCCAGCAGGCGGCGACGCCCCTGCAATTGCACAACCAATTGATGCAACAGCAACAACAACAGCAGCAACCGCTCCAAACACAGCAGCAGCAACAACTACAACAACATGCGCAGGAGCAATTAAGTTCGCATCAGCACTGGGGACCTTTCAAAGTTTACAGTGAGTATTTGAAATCCATTTATTTCATTAGGCGTGAATCATTGGTATTGCTTTAAGCGAAAGAATTGGAAGACTACACAGAACTTAAGGCTGTTGTAGTATTATATTTTAGTTTTCCAACTAAAGCTCATATTATAGGTATATAATTAACTAAATTTCGCTTTGACATACAGTTTTTATCGTTTCCTTCATTATAAAATAGATGATAATTTAAATTAAATTAGATTTGATTTTCAAGTCGGTTGCACGCTTTTGGTTAGTTTATACTTTTAACTAACTGGGTGACTGGATTCTAGTGCACAAATTTTTATTTTGTGGTCAAAAGTTGATGCCTATCTTTAGTAATCGAGCACTTTTGTGTAGATGTACCGAACTTTTTTTTTAGAAAATATTCTTATAGTTTAGTATAAATTATAGTATGTAATTTAAGCCACTTGATAGGGGTAAAAGGTGTCTTACTGAAAATATAATTTCTATTCAAAATAAACTAAATTTTTAGTCGACCATTACAATAGGTCCGTTTTGACTTTTTTCCAACATAAGTAAGTTATGTGCTTGGGACTATTTGGCCTTAACTGAGGCAAGTTTTCTACTTATTTAACCTCTGAAAGGAATTATAAATTTGAAAGGTTTTGAGTATTTAATCTAGAAACATTTCGTAAGTTTTGGCCGCCTCATAATATCAGTAGGAGCGAAAAGAACCTGGCTTAGTTTGTCAAAAATGACGTCGATATTTCTCGACAGAGAGAAATGTGTCAACAAGCACATTGTGCAATAACAATACCAACAAGGATCGCAGCTCTGGTAGTCATTCTGAACATTGCGAACATTGCACTGCCGACTGTGGACAGTCAGCAGTCCGTGGCCCAGATGGAGGCTATGGTCGAGAAGACGCGTCTGCAACCAAACTATATTAATGGCGTTCTGAGTCTGAAGGGTAGTTTGCTCTCCGGCTTTGTTGGCAAGAACGCACCTGGTCTCTATGAAAATTCAAATCAGCAGCAGACAAGTAACAAGGAGTCCTTTGTTTGCAATAATGCCAACCCTTTGCAAGCCACATCCGAAGTTAGACAGCGTAGTGATTCGAGTGAAAGTATGGCGCCCGGTACAAACTTTAATCCACTACGGAAGGCCATGGCACGGCTTGCCAGTTTGAACTACGCCCAACAGCCGGAACTGATGTCGCAGGAAACACAGCAAGTAGATCCTCAGCAGACGCCATTCGAACAGAAACTCCAGCAGATGCAACAAGAAGTGGCGCCGCCATCGCAAGCTGTGCCACAGCAGCAACAGCAGTCCGAACCCGGTCTGTCCCGGCAGTATGGATCTCCACTGGCCATGCAAACGGATCGCCAGGCAAATCGTTATACACAAGAATTTCCGCCCCATTTCCTCTTCCAGCCGCCTTTTGTGCCATTAGGGTTGTTTTCGAAACAAGATTCTCAGCAGCAGCAGCAACATCAGCCGCGGAGTCAGGAGCAACCCACGCAGGAGCAGCTCCAGCTTCTGAAGCAGCTTAAAGATTATTTTGGGCAGACGCAGCTGCCACTATTTGCCACCAACCAGCAATTAGAACAGCAGCCTCAGTCGCAGCCTCAACCGCAGCCTCAACCACAGCCTCAGCAACAGCCCCAGCCCCAGCCCCAACTCCCTCAGGATGAAGGATCATTACCGCCGGCGGCCTTGGATGTGGTTCAGCTTGCACAAACTGAGTCACCAGACGATGATGACACCGACAATGGACAGTGTCCAGCAGGCTCCGAAGATGACGAAAGTTCAACAACGATTGCGCCTACAACCGCTCCAAAACTACCTTCAACATCAGCTCCCACTCGATCCTCTTCAACAACACGGAAAACTACAAAGAAGCCCAAAGAAAAGAGCACCACTTCGAGGACGACTGAAACCGATGATGAAGTCGTCACTCCCCGAGTCGATGTCGATAACAAAGCATCGACAACTGAAAAGCCAAGGACTAAGCCAACGAAATCGACTACTAAAAAGCTGCCCTGCTGCACTAAGCCAGCCAAGCGCGAGAGTTCCAAAGGCAAGGCCAATAATGATAAGCCCAATGTCATACACTTTTCGCTGTCCGTGGGCAAAGAACAATCAGTCCCACAGTCCCAGGCACAGCCTGAGCAAAAGGTGCATGGAAAGACCACATTTCGGCATAGTCGACATGCATCTCAGCCAGAATTGCGGGTGTGTGCGATTCGGACGCTACTGCGTTATCGCAATATCCTTGGCGACCTTAAGGATCGGCGTCAGCAGCGGTATCAGCGACGAAAGCGGCGACGAAGAGGAAAGAGAACGGAAAAGTCACCGGATACGGACCAGAAAAAGAGACACGCGTTCGATAGAAAGCAGCTGCTGCTTGCTGAGGCAAAAATTTGGCCCATCAAATTTTAAAATAAGGTTCGATTGTTTCCATGTTTGCTCCCAAGAATCAGCATTAAATATATTTTCTATATACATTTGTAATTGTATGCTACTTTATCTGATAAACTATGTGTATTGGAAATTGGAATTTGTCAAGGATTTGAAAAGCGGATCCAATTTTAAGTTTAAATATTGACTAGTACTAGTGTTTGTGGTTTTCGGTGTTATGTGATACTGGATTATAAGTATGAGTATCATTACAAACAGCTAAAGATTAAATAATACATTAAATAGTAATAAGCGGTAAGTAAGATAATAATTGATATGTTAATTGGTAGTTGAACTATTCACTTGTTTTATTTCTCATTTACAATTATGTGACCTAAGCAATAATATCTAAAAATTTCAATTAAGGATCAAACTGGACTTATCGCTTGCGTATATGTAGGATACATCTATCTATATCAGTCTCTTTCGCTTCCTCTTTCGTTGCAGGCAATCCGGACACATTAATTTGCGGCAATTGCCGAGAATGTTTCAACGAGCTGTCTGAGTTATTAGACCACAAGAAAAGTTATTGCAAGCTGAGGTTCACATGCAAGTGCCAGGATGTGGCCTTTGCAGCAAGTAAGTTGCCATATGCCCGCATATTATATTGCATGCTTGGAAAAGTGGGAGTACGTGTACGGGTTAAGAGAATGGGAAGACTATTCAGCTTGTCTGTCGGCAATTAATTTATGATTGTTAAACACTTTTTGCAAATGCCAAGTGACTTGTTTATTCAGGGCCAACATGTTTGCCAGTCAGCAACATCTGCCGGCCGTGTGTGTCCGTTTCTCCAACGTTTCTCTCTTCCTAACGTCCGCTTGTCTGTTCTACAGAAACGCCTGCGGTTAATGCAACGGGGGCACCATTGGCTGTTGGAAATGCATTTAAAATTGAGTTATTTATGCCCAGCTCCACTCCTTCTCCTCCAGCCAGCTTGGCAAATTCCAACTTAAATAACTAATTAATTCTCGCACAGAAACGCCAACGAGCAGCGCTAAATTGCTTTGTGCCGTTTGCAAGGATGCATTCACCAATCCCTGGGATTTGATGGTCCACGCACAGGCCGCACACATGGTTAACATTTACGAACTGGGCGTTGAGGCGACAGCGACTGCCTCTAACGGCAACAGCAGCATAACAAACAGCAACAACAACACAAGCAACAATGGAAACGATGCCTCCAATTGTGTGTTGCCCTCTGCCGCGACCACTTCCGTTTCTCCCGTTGCTGCTCCTGCTGCTGTTGCTTGTGATGAGTCTACAGCCGTTGCAGCCGCAACAACAAAGCAAATGCAGGCGTCAGCTACACTTAACAAGGAGCCCAATAACAATAACAAAATTAGCAACAATAACAACAACAGTCACATGTCACCCACAAATGTGCCCGCCATTGCAGCGAAGAGTGAAACGACTGGCGTCGATGTCACTTCTGCAGTTGCCGCTGCTGCTGCTGCTGCCTCAGCCTCAGCCTCAGCCTCTGCCGGCGCTGCCATCGCCGTCGCCGACTGCCATGTCAGCGATGGAGAGGCGCACTGCATGGACATCAAATTTGGAATTTGTGCCAGTCCCAAAGAGGTTGGTACTACACATATAGTGTGAAAGTTATAGATTTCATTTTCATTTTTAATATACTAATTAGCAAATTATATTTGTTATATATATTAGAAAATTAAATAACACTCCTAATTACTAACATGATTTCAACTAAAATAACATACAAGTAGTTTTCTTTCAAGGCTTACAATATGTATTCCTTGAACCAAACGATTTTGGTTTATTATTATTTATTTAATTTCTTAAACCTTGGATAGTTGTTCTTTATTCACATTTATTTATGTTCATTTTTCGAAATTAATTTGAAATTAAATTATAATTCAATTGCTTGGGCTTTAATACTATAAAAAAATCAAAACAAAATCAAAAACTTAAATATTATAAATTAGTATAACGTTATCATATATTTTTTTTCTAAGTTTCAAAGTAGTCTTCATTGTAATCGTGACCCCGGCTAATTTTAATCAGATTTCAGTACGATTTCCTTATTTAATTTTATGCATAAACTTTAAACGTAAACGGAATTCAATTTCGTGAACATTATTTGTTATTTTGTTAATATTTATTAATGCTGTTCTCTGTCAAATCGACGACCAAAATTGTTAAAATTCCTGCATACGTAAGGCCTAGTTAGCTGCAAGTCTGCATTCTTCAACAGCTAAGTGTCAACCAGAGTGTTAGCGAAAAAAAAAATGAAAGTGATCGTCGGCGATTCGACAACGAACAACCATCTAGGGTTAATAAAGTTCATTTCCGTTATAGGAATGCGGGGAGGGCTGTCGTAGCTCCATACGTATATATGGGGTTGACTGTGTGCAACTCAAATACTTGTATTTAAGTTTGATTTTGTTAAATAATTATCAAGTTGTTTATAATTTCTTATTGCTATAAAATTCAAATTTCTACTCTACGTATGAGGCGTAATGAATTTTTATCTTTATTCATTTAAAGAAATATTAAATACATATTTCATATTCAAATAATTATTTTGTATTCGTATTTTTTTTTTTGAATTTTTAATTTTTATAATACCACATGCTAGTGGTTTCCAAGCTATATATTTTACAACTTTAGTCCGATATTAATCTAATGAATTGATTTTTCGATTTTGTTAATAGTCTACAATACACTGACATGTATTGTTAAACAAGGTCATAGAAAATACAAAACGTCTAAAGGCTTATTCAATTTATTTTTAAGGATCAGCAGCGCGATGATTTGTCGCTGGATGAACGCCTGTCCACCTCTTCGCAAGCACACCAGTCGGACTCGGAAATGAAGCTGCTGAGCGGGTCCATATCTTCGCGTGGTAGTTCGCCTTGCTTGGACGCCGACGAGCCACCAGCTACCCGTGCGTGTATTGTGCGCACCCTGAGCATTGTAAGTTTAATGGATTTTCGAGTTTTCAATTCAAGCAAACATCTATCTGTTTCGGTTTTAGGAGGCCGCCGGAACTGCAGCCTCGCCCGCAGCACAGGCCTTGAGTTTGATGACAAGTGGATTGGGTCTGGCACTTGCCAATGGTGCCGTACAAGCTATAACCCCACAGTAAATGCCACTACCTATGCTTTTGAACGTTATAAATTAGACGTGGAATCAAAGAAAAAATATTTTTTGCAACCAGAAGGGCGTGCAGTATTCAAAATATTGCTCTTGGCATCGTAGTATATCAAGACGAAATAGAAGTGCAATTCGTTCAGTATTTTTATACTAGAGTAATGCTAATCATTTGGCAAAATACATTGTAAAACAAGAAGAAATGAGCGCGAAGTGCTGGCAAACATATCATTTTAAAATAGTGCTAGTCATTAGTTATTAAAATATCGACGAAAATATCAAAATTATTAAGCTTCTGAGTGATTAAGTGAGTATCGTTATGTGCATTTCGAGTTGAAACAAAAGGTAAATAGTATATATATATGAAAGTTTTTTGGTTTCAAACTGCATATGTGAACGTATAGGTAAAAGGAAACACAACTCAAATTGTCGGTGTATACATAACGATAATATTCGAGGAAAATGTTGAAAAGTGCATTGTGTAAGGCAAATGAGCTTTGTATATAGTTAAATGTATTCTTAAAATACTACCCCACAATTAACCTATTTATGTCTTTAACCTACTGGCCACTCAAAAATAATCAATCAATTCGTATTTTATATAATTTATCATTAATCGCATCTATTAAGCAAGTTAACGTCGTAGTTAGTACCGTTCAGTAAGAAAACGTATTTATAGAGGGCATGTAGAAAGTAACAGGTGTTTCAAAAACAAAAGTTAAGCGTAAATGTATGTTTTTGTGCATTTGTGGGTGAGCGTTGCCTGTGTACGTAAGTAACAGATGCTTAAATGAAATATATTATTACTATTATTATATACAAAACATGCAATTATAAATATATCAAAATGTAGCTTGTATGTAAATAGTTTAGATAAACATATTCGTACAAAATTGTAAACTATAACAAAAAATTCAATTCAATGTCCTCCAGTTAAAAAAACCATATAGAGCTGCAAAGAGTACTAAAAAATAATAAAAAAAATTACCAAAAATTACCAGCTTATTAGTTTACTTTTGTAACTTACAAATTAAGTTCTGGGTGTCTAAATTTGAAGGGCAGAGACTATACCACGTTGCAACAACACATAGGGGGTGCATTAGAAATTCTATTTTCCAACTCATTAAAATAAATGATGATCAGCAGGAAACACACGCAGAGCGCAGCTGAAGCTAAGTTCACATACAGACGCTGTGTGTTTTACGAAAAGCAACAACAACTGTGTAAGCTTGAGTAAAAACTTGACATTTTATAATGGAAGAATCCAACAAAAGGTAAGTTGCCCGCCACTGTGGTTAAATACATGCGAAAAGTGATGTAGACAATCATTTTGTAATAAAATTGTTAGTCTGTCTGTGTGATTATTGTTCTTCACAGGCGCCTTACTTATTTATCCGATCGGCATCAAATTTAATATTAATTTAATATTCTTGTACATACGATGCATAAAAAAGTGTAACTAAAATATCCATGTTTAGGGGTCAAATGTTTCTACAGTATAAATTAAATGATAAATTTGAAATAATTTCCAAACAACAATTATAAAAATTTCATTAAAGTGTCAGATTTGTTTGGAATCAACAGTCTTAAATACCCAGTCTTAAATACCAAATGGAAATCTTTAAGAATTTAAATTTAAAAAGCTTGGCTGACTCAAGATAATTGCACCTAAAACCGGAAAGCTGAAGTTCCCTAGTAGCACACGCAGAATATTTGTTAGTTATAAATATTAATTTCTTGACTATCCTACATACTTAGTATAAAAGGTAAAACAATGTGGATGTTTTTGAAATTGAGGCCGTAAGATGAATAATAAAAAAACAAGGCACTTTTTGTTCTTCAGATCGAAAAACTGAAGCTTTTGGTTGGCTTTTCTAAGAAATGAATTTTAATTTCAGAAAATAATCAATTTTTAAAACGAAACAGAAATAATAAGCAATAAGTATAAGAATTTATCTAAGTTGTATTTATTACGGATTAAAATTAATTAAATGAGCTGTGCTAGCTGTGAGTGGGAAACTATTATCAATTCAGGAAGCATCTAACTCCGCATCATTTTTGAAATCTCATCTCGAATGGCATTAAAATCTTGCTATCCACTGTACATCCTTACTCTTGTGAAATATCTCATAATATTAATATGAACTAAAATAATGTTAAGTTATTGCAAATATGCAACCAAATTGGATTTCTCATTTAACTTAATTCTGACAAGATTACAAAGTTGGTGTTTTATTTTTGAGAAATAAAATTGGCGAAAATAAATTAAAAATAATTATTCCCCATTCCCAACCACTGTGCTGCGGCTGTTCGTGAAGTGGCGTCGGTGCAACCTATGCTCTGAACTTGTGTGCAGGTAAAACAGCCGTCGCCCAAAAAATTTAGACACAAATGCAGTTAACTTTATTAAAATGCGCAACAAAAATGGTTGGTCTGCCTGTGGTCCTGCAAGCCTGCAAGCCTGAAAGCCTGCCTGCCCAACTGCCCCGCTGTTGCCTCATTGTTGTAACCACAAATGCCGAGTTGTTGTTTTGTGTCCTTGCCGTTAGCTTTTGCGGCTGTGGCCATAGTCGCTGTTATTGTTGGCTACGCCACGTTTAACGTGTCGACATTGTCTGCACCGTGAGCCATTTTGTTTGGAGGTCGAGCTTAGCGCAGACTTTATACACGGCAGAAACTTTGGCGGTGATTTGAAATGCATGGGCAATTGCAGCCAAGTGTGTGTGTATGTGTGAGAGGGAGATGAGGGTCGAGTGCAGCGATATCAATGGGTATGCGCATAGAGTTGAGGTGGTTTTCAATTTGCTCGCATTTAATTTGAGATGGGGCTTGTCGCTTTAAAGCGAAAGTCCCCTGGCTAATTAGAATGGCCTCACCCAGGTGACGCGCAGGTGGCATTAGCCTGCTGACAATTATTCTCGGTCGCTGGGGACCTTGACTAGACACAAGCTCACATAGTACGCTAATATAACAAATGGAACCAATGAAGTAATTAGAATGGTTGGCAATTCACCAAAAACTGGTGCAAGTCGAGTTGAGTTTCACGAGCGCACACGGCGTATGCGTGATGCGTGCGATGAGCGCTCATAAGTATGCAACGAAAAAGGCGTACGAACCCTTTGGGGGCAGCATCGACGTCAGTGAAGTTGCCAGCGCCCACAGCTGCCCCAATGGTGTAATAAGCTGCACGCTCATGCACCACACCTCTTTTGGAACTGGCCTATATAAGGCGAAGCTACCACTGGCGCTGTTCTGACTAAGTCAGCGAACATCGACGCGAGAGGCACGTGAGGGCCGACTTTATGTCGTCGAACAGCACACAGCCGCAAACGCCGAGCGGTGAGCTTGGCCCAGAAGCTAAGCCTAGATTTAGTGCCTTAGCCGCATCCAATCAATGGAAGCGTGCCGCTCTTATGGCCAAAACAGTATCGGCCTTTAAGGAGACCATATCAGATGATAGCGATGAGGAGGTGGATACAAAGCGGCAGATCAAGTACGGTAGCGGCCTGCAGGCGGCTAAGGCCATCATTCATGAATATTGCGACTACAGCACCATTCACGGCATACGCTATCTGGGTGAGCAGAAGCGACCCTGGCTGGAGCGGTAAGTGGTTTTCAGATTGGAAGGTGGAAGTCCAAATCAAAATATATTTTCCCATAGACTTTTCTGGGTGAGCGTATTTATGCTCTCCATTTTCACCTGTGCCAAACTAACAATGAACATCTGGGATAAGTGGAACAATAATCCGGTGATTGTAAGTTTTGCGGAGAAATCAACGCCCGTCTGGCAGATCCCTTTTCCTGCCGTCACCGTATGCTCGGAGACAAAGTCGCGCCAAACGGTTTTCAACTACACCGACACTTATTGGCAGATACGAGACTTCCGCAACAATGTGAGCAACGTCGAAGATCTCACTGTGGCAGAGTAAGAGAACTGGCTAAGCTAAGAGAGATGTTAATTTCCTTCATTATTTTGCTCACCCTGTAGAAAAGCTACTTACGAGGCTGTGACTCAAGTCTGCGATGCACATTTGAATGACATTGAAATGGGACCGAAAGTGAAGAAGGGTATTGATATTATTGATGCGCTCAGTGAAGTTGGACCCCAGTTCAGCGACACGTATTTGGATTGTAAATGGCGCAATCTTCCCGTGAAATGCAATGAGATCTTTCACAAGTTTGTCACCGAAGATGGTGTGTGCTACAGCTTCAACTCACTGAGTCCAGCAGAAATCTTTCGTGCCGAGGGGTAATTCGTTGTCGATTTCCTTATCGGGATGTGCACTAATATTATGACAGTATCATACCTGATTTCATATTTCGCGAGGAGAATCGCTTGGCCACGGAATGGAATGTGGAGGATGGTTATAGCATTAGTGCCAATACCGAGACTTATCCCAATCGTGTCCTCGGTCCCGGCGCCAAGGCTGGTCTGTATATGTTTTTGGGTGGTGCGGAAGTGGACTTCGATGATATTTGTCGCGGTCCTGTTCAGGGCTTCAAGGTACATTGAGAAATGTCGTCAACAAATGTTAGTGGATTTATAAAGCGCCATTATTCTCTTGGATTTAGATTCTACTTCATACACCTGGTGAGGTAGCACAGGTGTCCAAGCAATACTTCCGTGTACCCTTCGATCAGGAGGTGCTTATATCCATACGCCCCAAGATCATCACCACTTCGGATGGCCTCAAGCACTATGAGCCGCATCGCCGTCAGTGCTACTTTCAGAAGGAACGTTATTTACGGTACTTTAACATCTACTCGCAGAGCAACTGCGAACTCGAGTGTCTGGCTAATTTCACCCTCGCCAAATGTGGCTGCATCAAGTTTTCTATGCCACGTAAGTGAAATGTCATGAATAAATCAGATCAATGTTATTGGTAAAATCGCCAGGTAATACTAATATGCCCGTTTGCGGAGCGGCGAACATGAAGTGCTACGATGGAGCCGAGGACGAGCTCCTCCTCAAGGAGTTCAACCAGGGCCAGACGTCATCTGGTGATAATCATCGTGGAAAAACAGATTGCAACTGCCTGCCCTCATGCACCTCCATTGCATACGAAGCGGAAATTTCTCAAGCCGATTTCGATTACAAAGCAATAGCCCAGCACGCAAAGGGGGATAATGCCGCTGATGAAAAAGAGGGGTAAGAATTGTTAGTTAGGCAATATATCATATGTGAAATAGTTTACGACATGGAAACAAAATCCTCAGTTTTTAAAAAGTTTCATTTTTAATGAATTGAAAAGGGACAAAATAGTGAAGAATATAATTCTTGAAAGGCGGTGTTATCTTAGAATTTCTCTTTACTGTAAGAAAGTGGATTTAATTTATTCTAATAGTCGGAAGCAGACCTAATATTTTTTTTTTTTTTTTTTTCAGCCTTAAGATGGCTCGTGTATCAATTTTCTTCAAGGAGGCACAATTTTTGACTTCGCGTCGCTCGGAGCTTTATGGAACCACCGATTTTCTCGCCAACTGTGGAGGTCTATTGGGTCTTTTCATGGGCGTGTCCACACTGAGCATAGTGGAGCTAGTCTATTTTTGTACGGTTCGTCTCATTTCCAACCTGCGGATGCGCCGCAAGACCCGCCGAGAAATTTTGCATGCTGCTCAGGCCAACAAAGAAGCCTGAATAGGCCAAGGATAGGATACGACTGCCACTTATGCATAATTTAGTGGCAATTGAAGCAGAACCTGCTGCTTCCATCATCCCACTGTGTAGTGTTATGTTTAATGTTAAATCTGCAAACAATGAAGTAAGTCCAAATAAAAGCTTTACTCAGCACTCAGCCAAACACAGAAATAGTTAGGAAATGGGAATCAAGTCATCATCGGAAAGTTTTAATAGAGCCCGCATGTTTCCAAGTCAACTGAAGAGCTTTTGGGTTTGGGGTTGCGTGCATTTGAAATGGAATCAATTATTTTATTGTGTGATTTGCTGCTGCATTCAATTCGATTTGAAAAGTCAACAGACGGCCGACCGGCCAATGCTCCAGTGAGCTCATCTTCATTTGACTTGTCCTGTCCTCATATGTTATGCAAAGGCAGGCCTTTGATTTGCCTGCAACTGCGTCTGCCAGCCGACACCGCTGTCTTGCCGTTTGACTTGGGCGCTGGCATCAGCTACTCGGGGGTACCTTTAGCTATGCAAACATCGTGTGCCAATAAAGGGAGTTGGCGCCGGCGTGCTCTGCGTTCTGCCATTTGCTCTGGCTGTGTGGCTGCGTCCCTAATGGAAAACCAATTGAATTAAGTTAATTATGTTGGCAAATATTTAAACAATAGCTGCAATTTATGCCTAGTCTGCACACACGCACACAATCAAGTATGTACAGATCCAGATTCCTTTTGAACTTTAGCTGGGCTTACATGAAGCTCTGCACTTTTGGCAGATAGACTACAAGTATAATACCCTAATTTAAGTACTCTGGCGGATCCATGATGTGTACAAAATTTGACCATAATTTGTTTAATATATAAAACAAGTACACAAACATTCAAACAAACATTATAAAATATGATCAAATTATGCTATTTTGTCACAAATTGAAAAGTTGTGAAAATGAATTTTCCTTAAAACACTCAGTACTTTTATGATTTCATCCAAATTACAAAAGTGCCATTTACGATTTCCAATTTCCAATTTGTGACCAAATAGCAAGTTGTGAAAATGAATTTTCCTTAAAACACTTAGTATTTTTATGATTTAATCTAAATTACAAAAGTGCCATTTCCGATTTCCAATTTCCAATTTGTGACCAAATAGCAAGTTGCGAAAATAAATTTTCCTTAAAACAATCAGTACTTTTATGATTTAATCCAAATTACAAAAGTGCCATTTCCGATTTCCAATTTTGGAATATTACATCTATATAATATATATAAAACAATGTGGGAAAAGGCGTTTGTTTCCCAATAACATGAAACGAATTTAGTTTTTGTGTTCTTAAATGTTATGAATTACAATACAAAGGTAATAGACAAAGGGGGAAAATGCAAAAACATTTCTCAAAAGTTATAAGCTAATAAATAATCCTTGCAAACACACATACATATCTACATTCGTATAAATGTGTGTTTTTCATTTTGTGCTTTAATACTTTGAGCAAATCCTTTGCTATTTGGAATTGTTCAAAGTTAATTCAACGTGCTGCATTCAATTATGATAATTAAATAGATTATAGTTGACACAAATCGGTGTCTATAGTTTCAATGAACAAAGTTTGCGAACATTTCAAGGCACTCCGATTTAGCATTGAAACACAAGAATTGTGCTGTGCAAATTAGAAAGTCCAATTGCTGGCATTAATTGTCCATCAGAACCATTCCTGTGTTGCTGGGACGTCACCATAATCGAAGCCTTTTTTGAGGAATATTCAGGCATATAGTAGAATTCATGTTTTCAAATGACTTCCTTAGATAAAAAAATGTTTTCATTTGCATTTTTGTGAATTATATAGCTGTAGTTCAGTGAGTGTAAATTGAAAAAGACAAACAATTGTTGTTGCTGTAACGAGCGGAAAAAGGAGTTCCACTGGTAAAATATAATACCCTATATAAGAAACATCAATTACAAATATGTATGTACAAGTATTGTATAAGGTAAAAGGCGAAGCAAGTCGGAAATGCTAGAGAACAATTTTTAAGAATTCAAGTTCGATTGTATTTTAAAGAAATATTTAATATTTGGTTTACAAAAGAAACTATTAAGCTAGCAACCAATTTAATACGTTAAAATACGTTATAATTTTCTTTATCAGTTTCAAACTAAATGAGCTAAGCACGGAAGCTATAATATAAACCATTTGCTGTGCCTTACAATAAATACTTATTCATTCATGTTTGATTTGTTAAAAAAGCATATTTTCATCAATTCGCATTTAGTAGTCGATGGCCAGCATTCAAAGCCGCGAGTAATACAGAATTATTGCGTATGACCAACATTTTTAAAAATAGCAATTTAAATGGTCTTTTATGTTATAGTAATCGAGACTGGGTAATCAAACATGTCAGTCAAAAAGAAGTCTATACTTCTAAACCTGGCCGGGGAGTAGTAATTGTATTTGTTATTTGGTTATCAAAAATGTATTTAATAAATGTGACATGAATTCTTCTAAGTAGCGCAAAATTGTAGAAACCTAAAACTTTAATTGACAACGCATGTATTATATAAAGCATGTTACTTAATTTTCGCTTTTTATCGGCACGCAGCCAGTTATAAGAAGCGCCCTGGCTGCCACTCTAGCGCACCAAGAAAGATAAGATTACAGAAATATCATTTTTATTTATTTATATTCATGTCAACAAACATTAATAATAACATAAATAATTTGTATTTTGTATACTTCCCATAGATGCAAGTGTTATCCTATGGATGTATCCCAAGAGCCAATTTTTGCATTTCCCTTAAATTTAAAGCTGCCAACTTAAATAGCAGAACACATTTTAATTACAAAATGTATAGTATGTAAAAAGACTTTTTATCCCGTTCATTATGTGCACGTGCAAAAGTTGCATTCGCTTTAAAATATTTCGCTCATAATTCTCTGTATCTGTTTGTATCTTACACTCGCCATTTAGTTTAATTTAATTTGGTTGCGACACGCGGCGATATTAACATAAATTATACACGCAAGTGCAACAGTTGTGTGTGAGTGTGTGGGGGCCTGTGTGTGTGCACTGCATACACGTACGTGCCTCCAACGTCTGTTGTAATCGTATATACTACTGTGTAGTATAGTATGAATCCCACAAACACACGCACAGTAAGCAAACGAATGCTTGTGCGCGTTGAGTTCATTATGGCAACAAGTGTCGAAATGTGTCGAAATATTGCAAATAAAGTTGACACATTTGCATACCTAATAAAATTTGCATGCTCATGCGAAAAGTTGGCGTTTGTACCATAAGTGCAACAATGGCGGCCGCTGTGGCAGGCATGAAAATGGCGAGGCATGTGAGTATAGAGGTGGCATACATACGAGTGCGAGTGTGTAATGTGCACTTTGGACTCTCCACTTCAATGCTGCATTCGTGCATGCCAATCTGATTCATATATGCATGATATATGCGTGCGTAGATATAGACTATACTATACATGAGTGTATGTATATAAAAATGAATTTATGACAATTTTATATTGATGGCTGTCAAGTGCCGTGCCACCGTCTGCCGCATGCGCTCTTTATTGATTTCAATTACACGTAACGACAGTGAGAGAAACTGTGAATGTAAATGTTGTGTGTGCTGTAAATAAGTATATACACATGTACGACTATGTGTTGTTTGTGTGTTCAGGTGTAATGTGGCAAGTGTTAAGGCATCAATCGCTATTAAACACTAAAGAAACTCGTCAACCTGCCACACGAAACACAAATAACAACAACAACAGCAATAATAGCATTCGCTTATTCAATTTGTATATAAATGCTGTTGCTGTTGCCATTTGTGGCAGCGACAAGACATTTGACATTGGCAATCAGGTGGGGCAACATGAAGAGCCAGGCAACAACAACTTATATCAATAAAAAGTTTGTTGCACTTTCAGCGAGCTACAACAAACAATAGCAACAACCAGAGATACGAGTATAACGACGATATAGCAACGGCAAACCGTAGCCGTAAAATATTGCAATTAAAGTTTTCTACAACACCCTCAGCCGTCCGCAGCAAAGTTTCCAATGGTAATAGCAACAACAATGGCTGCAACAACAAATAACAAACAGTCGAGCACTGGCGACTTGCTTCATTTGCTCGGCATAGCTTTAAATTTCCGGTTTCCGGTCTGAAGTGCACGACACGCGGCCATCGTCGGAATCATCGTCGTTGGCATCGCCACCATTGACGTCCGCCATGTTTGTTTGCATTTAAGTTGCTGTTTTGTGCAACATTTTGCGGCATTCAAATGCATAGCGACATCAGCACGAAGCCAAAACTAAAGCTGTCATGTCATCCGTTGTCAGGCACAAATTAGAGATGGCTGCGTGAAAAGAAATGGCACTCAACACATTACTAGCCCAAGAGATAATGCAAACTTCGATAGACAGTTATTAGGCAGATATGATATATAATACTGATATATGAATACCAAGAAGGTATAAAGAAAGGAAAATATTGCTGACAGAAAAAATTAAAATTTTGATTAAATAATGCACGATGCATTTAAAAAATAACTTATGCAGCCACCCCCCCCCCCCCTGCCTACGCCCTTGATCACTGTCTTAATTATATTTATTCATTATTTTAGAGTATTTCATGGCTTATTAGATGCAAATTGAGACATTTATTCTTTTGCGTCTTGGTTTCTTTAAGAAAAAAAAAATGTGTTCCATCTACCTTTAAGAATGTTTTGTAAGAGCGGCCTCATACACATTTTCGTTACCAGTTGTGGCTATTCTCTTTACTTCTTAAGAAACACTATAATAATTCCTTATCAAATGGCGCTATTGAGGAAATCGAACGAAATTAAATTGAATTTATATGCTGAATTTACAGAGCTCTGTTAAATATAACAACTAAATTGATTAAATAATTCAAATCAAATAATTAAAAACAAAAATATTTAACTAAAATTGGATTTAAACAAGAGCAACAGTGCTCAAGAATTTATACCTGTACCCACTCGTAAAGAAATGAAAAATCATTTTAAATAATTTTTTAATTCATTTTTCTTAAGAGACATATGTTTATTTTGTTAAGAGGTTATAAAAGTGCCATATAGCTTATATTTTTACTTGTAAGATTT